CAAAGAGTGTGTGGTGGTAGGACTGAGCCAGAAGTCCAAAGCTGCCGGTGGAAAATCCAAAACAACCGGCTGAATGATGCTAAAACCTGCCCTGGAGGTGAGGGGAAGCATAGACTTTGGTAATAACTTTCTGTTTGCAACAGCAGTAATGTGATGCGTTTCTAATATACAATATCGACAGGTGCAGCTTTAGGTCACGACGCCTCCTTCACTAAGTGACTGACAAAGTAAAGTGTAAAGCTACTAGTTCATAATCTGACCGAGCCACTCTTCATTATTACTATCTTTAGATTATTCTGGAGGATCTTCACTATAAATGCTTTTGCTGCTCACCAAAACATCTCTGTCACCATCACCAACTTTCTCATCATCGTCCTCATCATTATTACTGCAGAGTGTAGGCAATTAACCCGTGTTCTTTACTCAGTCATAGATTTTGTACAGCAAATGGACAGAAGTAACAGGGAAATGCGTAGATTTCTGTCACACAACCCACTGACTCATCGCCTTCACAGTTCACAGACCGATCATGTGCAGACACCCCCTACAGGTTCATTCTGAGCAACAGAAAACTCTGCTTCCTCCAAACCTCCATCACACCCCTCGTGCACGTCGTCGCCATCCACCATCCGTTAATAGCAGCCAGTTTAAATATGTAAAGCAGGTTCGAATCACATTCACACAGCAGCACAGAAACAAGTCGTGTCTTATCAGGCAATTAAGCTGCACAGTGATTGTGGCTAATGGATAAAACCTCATTTTATAAATTGGTTGTAATGCAGCTGACCCCTCCTTCCTCATCCAACTGAGGTCAAAAGTGTGTAGAAACTCAATCTGATTCTGCTCTGTACTTAATGCATAGTTAGGCTGATGAGGATGTACGACTGACTGGTAATTGAATCAAGGAAACCGTGAAAAACTACATTGGTGTGTGTGAGTCGATGGAACATGATGATGACTCGTTAACTACTTTGTGCATGACGACAGGAAACTTTGTGTTGAGGTGGATTAGTTCATATGTCAGTACTATTAGAAGATATATTGCAGAGGAGTTAGCAGAAAGTCAGCATGTATCCATTATTAGTTTTTCTTCCACAGGATGCTGTGAGACTGATTGAACGTCTCAGCGAGTCTCCGTGTGGCTGATACATGGCTGACCCGAGGACTCCCGGTCACAGTGTCACACCTCAGCAGCACGATGAATAGACTTTGTGTGGTGCATCTTTCAAAATGGCACTTTCCAAAATGATATAGAGGATTTGAGATCAGTTCATTGATGCTGTGTAGGAATACGAGGGTCTTCTAATAATTGTTACGTAGTATGTCGTGATGTGCAGATTCCATTTCTAAAATGGGATTTAGTCAAGGTGGACCCAGTCTCAGACAAAATGAAGGCAAGTGGAATCATGCAAAGAAATTGCCGTAATTTCTGGACTATTGAGCCGCACCCACCAACTTTAAAAAGAGTTTTTTACATGTATAGGCCACCCTTGTCTATAAGCTGCAGGTGTCCACGCTGTAACATGAGATATTTACACAGAAGAAAGAAAGAAAGGATTTTTTTTACCTTTTCATTAAAATCCAAACTGGTAACAAACACAAATACGTACTGTAACAGTGCCTGTAACACAGCTGGTTAAGAAAATAAAAACTACAGCAGCCTCCCATGAAAAGTCGTTGATCACTATCTTCATCTTCCTCCTGTGCACTAAAACCACTAAAGTCGTCTTCTTCAGTGTCGGAATTGAACAGCCTCAGAATGACTTTGTCACACACTTCCTCAGTCTCTATTTCGTTGTTGTTCTCAATGTGACTTTCGTCTCGAGGCAAATTCATAAAACTCGTAAAAATCTATAAATTAGCCGCATCATTGTTTAGGCCGCAATGTTCAAAGTGTGTGAAAAAAATAGCAGCTTATAGAATTTACGGATGCATTTTCACTCTGACTGTCTTTCTTACTACTTCTATCAGAGATGATCACACTCTAAGTTTTGGAACAATAAATGCTTTGGGGATGTACAGACAACTACCACTTATTTACTTTGACACTGAAGACAGCTTGAAAACAGGACGATTCTCAGGCAAGTTCTGGAGCACCTGTTTTTTTTCTGTGAATTCTGAGCAGATTGTGATGGACCATGGAGACGTGGTAAACCTTTTACACTGTAAATCACACAGAATCTAACAATATGTATTGCATTCATATGGAACTTGCAGAATGCATCAGGGTAGATTCTTGCATCAATCAGCGCCACAGGTTTTAAAGTGCCTTAACTGCCACTATTAGCTGTGTGTCACAGCCACTGTACTATAACTAACATCCCATTAGCTGTTTCTGGGCTCCCGTTTAACTCTGATCACTGGAAAAATTCTACTTAACGATAACTGCCATAACTGAGGTCATCAGGACATTTCACATAAGATATGTTCCATCCATCTATTATCTACACACCGTTTAATCCTCACTAGGGTCAGGGGCTGGAGTCTAACCCAGGGTGAAGGCAGGGGACACCCTGGACAGGTCGCCAGTCTATCACAGGGATACACTTAGAGACAGACAACCAAGCACACTCACATTCACACCAACGGACAATTTAGAATCACCAATTAAACTCAACATGTTTTTGGACTGTGTGGGAGGAAGCCGGTGAACCCAGAGAGAACCCACACTGCACGGGGAGAACATGCAAACTCCACACAGAAAGATCCCAGTGCCCCGACCGGGACACGAACCGGCGACCTTCTTGCTGCGAGGCATGAAGTGCAACTGCGCCACCTTGCAGCCCATAACATATGTTTAAAAATAAATTCTAAATCTATAGGCAGAAACTCTACATAAAGCACAAAACAAAGTAACAGTAACACACAATGTGTTTTCTGGACTTCTCTGAAAATCCTGGACAAGACACCAGTTCATCACAGACAATACAAAGAAGCAGACACCCGTGCACACTCACACTAACACCTGTGGCTAATTTAGAATCCATCAGCCACCATCCAGGTTATGAAATCAAAACCCTGAAAATTTCAGACCGAGCTGTAAGTGTGCATAATGAATTCCAGTGCTGTGATTCAGATCCATGTAATTATGAGGATTAGACTTATATTCACTGCCAGACTGATCCAGCACAGCATCACGGATGACTGTACTTAAAGAAAGACTGTGTACGCATAGATCTCATAATCACACAGGGATCGTATTTATTATCAAAAATTACAGTAATCCGTTCAATTACATGCTGCTCTAATCATACATGCCTCTAATTCCAGCCCGATTCTGATGCAAATATGCAAAATATTACACCTGCTCGCGCCCTCCTAAGTAGCGGATCTTTGCGTGCTGCACTCGCTGCCAGGTGGCCATCAGCTTTAAAAACGATGGCTGGTCATCAGGTGCAGGTAGCAGCTGGGATTTAGATGACAGGTATCACAAACCCGCAGGTAGCAGAGCCTTTTCTCAGCACGCTTCCTTGTCTTTGGAAAAGTTTGCCATCTGCAGTGGAGGCAGATTTTAAAAAATAAAAATAAATGTCATTCAAAGGTCTTTAACTCCCAATGTGCTGAAATTTTGGTTAAAAAAAAAAATGGGGATGATGCTTTTAAAAACATGTGTCAAGCCATCAAAGCTTTCTATACATTTTGTTATTAGCTGTATTAGTTGATATTTGGGGCAGCAGAACAAGCTGTATGAAGCTGATGTGGCGAACATGTTGCAGGAGAAGCAAAGCATCATTGAGTTGGAGCCTTAATTTTATCAACCTGACAAACTTTTAGCTTCTTTAGGGCATTTCTCATCCACAGAGAAACAAATGCACCATCTAAGCTGCTCATTGCACATTTTACTTATTGTACAAATGTTCTTCTTTTCATCTGTTACTTGGAAAATGTCTTAAAAAAACAGGGAATGAAAGTTTTATTTGACTATATTCCTTCGCCAGTGTTTGGAGTTTAGCTCATGCGTGTCGTGTTTCCTGTCAGAGTGCTGTGTATTTATGTGGTCACTGTCTGTGACCAGTGTGCTGTATGACTGAGGGACTTGGGGAGTTTGTCTGCTGCATGTACCGGCGTGTCTCCTATCTTTTTTCATTTCAGCCCGTCTGCAGTCGAGCTTATCAGCATCCGTTAACATCTCTGAGTCTGTCCCTTCTCATGTTCCAATACTAGCTGATATCCAGTGGACCAAGACGAAGCTCCTGTCCGCAGGATGTCCACCTCGGCGCTCACAACCTGTTTATTCTGCAAATTCTGTTATGAAAATTGCATCTGAGTTGGCCAGCTTTTGGCGGCTTTGACTTCCAGGGAACATCTCACTGCCCTGGAATAAGAACTCTGTGAGATTTGTTCATTGTTTCACTCTCGCTTTTTTTATCCTTGTGTGGATTTAATGTCAATATAATTAAGGGGAAGTCATTTTGCTCAGGCACTGCAACTAGGGGCTACCTTTTAAACTTGTCAATTTAACCGTCAGATCCTCAGAATTTTGTCTGGACAGCAAGGAATGACTGAACATGTCTCTGTGGTCGCAGCTGTCTTCATTGTATAAACAGCACGTAAACAAGCTTGAACAAGCATCACAGATGGTGTATCTGCACTGCTTTTAGATCAAGAACACACCCTAAACAAAAGTAGCGTGTGTGTGTGTTTTAGTGAGAAATCAATCATTTGAATGGTCAGAACATTGGAAACATAGTCTGGACTTGTATATGTCACTTCCACTTGTGGCACAGAGTCAGAGTGATGTTCTCACTGCTGCCGTAAACAGATGAAGAGGCTGTCTGGCACGTCGGCACATCCTGAGCTGCTTCTAACACGCACACACATATATATATATATATATAGTACCATACGTTGTGCCCAGACAATATCACTTTCTTACACTTCTAGTAACATTTTTTAAAAGCCAAAAGTATTTAAAGTGAGACAGCACAAACACAACACAAGCTCGAGCTCTAGAGTAAGGTCTTTGAACAGTTCTTGGAACAAGGTGTCCTTTGAGAATATTAAAGCAACAACTTACCAAGAAAAATGATGGTCTGCTTCCTCATTGTCTTGATCTTTGCACTTTCATGCTTGGTTGCCCTTTGAACTGCGTCGATCCCCCCATCCATGGATCCCATAGGTCTCCTTAGGACCAGGATCATGGCCCGGCACATGAAGGCCACGCAGCTCAACACGATGATGTAGACGATGAAAGCCGCAAAGATGCTGGCCCTGTACATCACCCAGCGCTCCCTCAGATTAGTGCAGAAAGTCAGGTTCTGGACAGGTGTATCGGCCAGGACGGGGATGTGTCCCTGCGTTCCTGTGGCGAACAGCAACGGCAGGGCCACGAGCACCGACACCAGCCAGGCAAAGGTGATGAGGGCCGAGGTACGTCTCCCACCCAAGGCTTTGAAGCGAAAAGGGTGGCAGATAGCAACATAGCGCTCAAAACTCATCGTGGCCACATTGAGGATGGTGGCATAGCTGCAAGCCTCAAACAAGAAGTTGTAGATCTTGCAGGAAACGTTGCCCGATGCCGACGAGAAGGGGAACCAGATGGCGCTGTAGAGCTCTACCGGCATGCCGATTAGGAGCACCAACAAGTCCGAGCACGCCAGGCTAACCATGTGGTTAGTCACATTTTTCTGCAGGTAGCCGTTGCGTTTCAGCACCTGTGTCACTCTGATGGTGATTGAATTTCCCACAATACCCATCACCAGGATGAGACTGTAAAAGATCGTCAGGAAGATCTTGAGAGGATAGTTGGGCTCAAGTTCCCTCCAGTCTTTCTCCTCTCCTATCTCCATTTCCTCACTCATGGTTCGAGAGTGGTGAGCTCAGATTTTCCAGGTATTGATTAGCTTATCAGTGCCGCTGGGTGCAGCCCTTGTGATTACGGCCAAGATTCAGAGGTGAGCAGTTTTCCAAGATAACAGCTTATACTGAACACTTCTTTGTCTGAAATTATTCCAGATTCTTCAAGCAGAGTATCCCAGTGAGTGGGGAACTCACATCAGAGCAGGTATAGCACTCACAGCAGAAAATAATCAGGCTCCAAGGCTTTCTATTATGTTCTAAATATTCACTATCTTAACAACTTAACGTGTCTCGTGTGTGGCCCCACAGCTGGTCCATCTCCCCCGAGTCCTGATGGCCATCTAGGATCCCCCAGAGTCCTTACAAGTCCCTGTGCAGAGTCGCTGGTTTCACCTCAGTCTGAGCAAAGAGTTAGCCAACATTGAACTCACACAAATTTCCTCCTCCCTCCCACAGGGGTAGGGCAGTTAAACATTAACCACGACCAGAGGCAGCGTGAGCAATGGAGTCTGCTTTCATTTCTTATCATCAGCGCTAATGTGCCTCCCTTTTCACAGAAACATCTTACTTCCAGTTTGAGTAGAGATTAGACACACGGTTAAGAAAGTTGTTGCAACTTGCAACCCCATAAAAAAAATCTATACTTTGACCTGATAAATTAAATTGTATGAGATTTACAGTCTAGTAGTTTTGTTTGGAGACTGTGTTAAAGATAAAAATAGAGATACGGCGCGCTCAGATCCTGAAAGTGACAAAGATCTTAAATAAGGCTGAGAATGTGTACTTAGAAGATGAAAAAAGAGATTAACCACTTAGAAAGAAAAAAAAAGTCTAAACTGGATGTTAGTTTTTGATTTACAAAAAAAAGAAAGCAGCGGAGAAGTCCTCTAAACAGGAACCAGGCTGAAATAAAGCAGACATACAGAAGCTGCATGACTGAAGTGAAGTGAGTTTATCACCAGGCTTCAGGAAATTCAGTGTTCATATGAAAGAAAATCCCTCTGAGAGAGTCAATGTCCTGCATTTTAACAATAATCAGTGGTTATTGTCGGGTCACTGTTTCCCTTTAAACCGAACTGTTTAAATACAATACTTAGCGGCACTAATCCGAAAAACAAAAAAGAAACTTTTTCCCAAACTTCTCTGGTCAGATTCCTTGAACAGGGCAGAGCTGAAATAATGAAGACAGGCTGAACCTGATTAGTTAAAAGCTTTGAGAAGCCTCTCACTGTGATTGACTATTGTCAGATACCCTCAATTAAAGCCCCATGCTCCGTGTGGCAGCACACTGCCAACCAGATGTTGACTGTCAGAAGTGAATCACGCAAAATCAAGGTTGATTGTTCATTATGACGCCGAAGTCTGTTTGTGGCTTGAATCATCTGCTATTGTGTTCAGCTGCCTGTTTTGTAATTGGGTGGCATGAGACAATGCATTTGTTACACCTCAGTATCCAAGTGCTCATGTTTAAGTGACGACATGAAATTGTTTCTGTCACTCTGAGATCATGAGTAGTCCCATAATGCTAGTAATCATCCACAGCTGACAGATGTTCAAGGAAACAAACCAGCATGAAATGACTCAAGAGGAGCTGGCTGCAGACAACATGGTGGTGGCACCTTCGTCCGGAGGACATCTGCAGGTGACAGAAATCGTTCAACTTTGTGTCATTTTTCCCCCCATAAATTAGTATTACCGTAATTTCTGGACTATTGAGCGCACCTGAATATAAGCCGCACCCGCCAACTTTAAAAAGAAAACAAGTTTTGTACATATACAGGCCGCACTTGTCTTTAAGCCGCAGTGTCCACGTTGTAACATGAGATATTTACAAAGAAAGATGTTGCACAGAAAGATTTTTTAAACTTTTAATTAAATACGTACTGTTAACATACACAAATACATACTGTAAATGCTTTTTTACTACGAACAGTGAATGTAGCATGGCTAGTTAAAGTAATAAAAAATACAGTAGCCTACCAGGAAAAGTCATTGATCACTATCTTCATCTTCCTCCTGCACACTAAAACCACTGAAGTCGTCTTCTTCAGTGTCAGAACTGAACAGCCTCAGAATGACTTCATCACACACTTCCTCCGTCTCTCTTTCATTGTTTAATGTCACTTTTGTCTCTGGGCAAATTCATAAAACTCGTAAAAATCCATAAATTAGTCGCATCATTGTTTAAGCCGCAGTGTTCAGAGTGTGTGAAAAAAGTAGCGGCTTATAGTCCAGAATTTACGGTAGTTTTTAGCAGTGGTATATTTGAAAATGAATTGACTTGCGTTATGCAGTAGTTTCTATTAACAGTTAGTACAGATTGAATTCAGTACGTTTTTATGTAATATCACATATATCTATGAAGCAATTTCTTCCAAACACATTAATAAACAATATGATCAGGTAAATGCCTAACTGACAGACTTTGTCGGTGACCCTCTGCACCTTTCTTGCATCCTCAGTTATCAAACTCGAAATGAACTCTGCAGCTATTATGTTTAGATAAACATGACACTTTTATGTTGGGCCAATTAAACCTACAAATGAGCAACAGAAGAGACCCTGTAAAAATAATGCTGTAATTTCCAGTACTGCTGATGCATGGTTTATTGTACAGGAACTAGAGGAGAGGTCTGACCTGACCTAAAAACTGGTTCCAGTTGAAGGTAACTTTGGCCTTTTTCCAGTTATGTGATACATGGTGGAAATCCCATAAAATGTCCTATGAACACCTTCAAGAAAGTTCACCAAATATCTCTGGTCTAATTTTTCTTAGATGCCTCCATATCTAGTTTGTCTGTTGGCCTGTGTTATGCCAGACTGACTCGGTAAACGATGCTGTGCAGACATTGCAAAATGAATTCGTGTAAACATTAATGTGGATAAATGGGATGCGATATGGGACCACACAAAGAAGACATCAGTGACTAACTGTGCTTGACTTTTGCAGTTTAAAATCCTGCACCGTTTGCAAATTTGAAAGATGTTAAATGATCCCCCAGCTTTGTTTAGGGATTAAGTTGAACTGCCTAGTTTACATCCTATAAATGACTAAGGAAACAAAAAGGATGCAAGAAAACAACCTATTTGCTTCAATATCCACTTCTTACTGAGAAAATTAAAGGAGCTATATTATGTCTTATTTTCTCATACATATGACGCTACAATGCCAGATGTCTGTATTAAACGCGGCTGAATTATTAAACAAGACAAGGTGACATCTGCTCCAGGCGCTGCACGCCCACCAAGTCAAACTACAGTTAATGTATGCACATGTTCGTACAAAACAGGCTATTTTAGTGTCATTACAGGCATTTAATATAATCCGGCAGACAAATAACTGATGGTGCAGGGAGATACCAGACAGTCACTTGGCAGCAGTAGAGTAACATTTTTTCGGGCTACGTTTCCTTTGGTATTTCCTGACAGCAGATGTTTTCAGTCAGTGGATTTTCCAAATGTACACCTATTACCAGGGGCACATGGAGAAAAAAAAGATATGCACAGCTTGTGATTGACAGAATAAATCTATTATTTGTCAGACAACAGGCAGGCAATGAGTGTAATATTTACAAGACAGCTGAATCTTTATTGCTGGGGATGCTCATGCTGTCCACTCTTTACTTAGAAGGTGTTTCTCTTTGAGTGTTACAGATCCTTTAGGTTGATTAGTGATGCTCCATAAACTGTATATAAAAGATAGACGTAGACATCACACACGTGTTTGTGGACGACTGTTTTGAGGCCTCAAGGTTTTGGGTACTTAGGGATGCTATGCACACCCTTCTTTTTGTCTTTTTTTACTTTAAATGGAACCATAATTTACCAAATGAGCATCATGCTGCGTTACAGGAGAGAAGAAACTAATGATTGAGACCATAAAAAAGTATTCTATTCTATTCTATTCTATAAATGCAACAAACAAAGAGAGAGTTAGGGTCATTTTCTCATAGATTTCTACACAGTCTGGCTTCTTTACGAAACCAGAGGAGTCGCCCCCTGCTGGCTGTTAGAATTAATGCAAGTTTCAGATGCTTCTGCATTGGCTTCATTTTCAGATCCAGAGGTTATGTTTAGCTTTTAGACACGGCCTATGTGACTGTCAGCCAAAAGAAAACACTCCTGCACAGTCTGTCAATCAGGACATCCTGGCCTTTTAGGGAAGGGGGTCTTAGACAGGCTCAGGCTAAACCAACTTGTTTCAGACAGTCAATGAACCAAGAAGGATTTTATTTAACTGTGGATTATGTAAAGCTTCTCTAGTGGAGACCCAGAAAATAAAATAAAAAAAATCGAGCTGGAAATGAAAATAATTGGTTCCCTTTGAAGAGTCACTCTCAAAGTCCACTTGAAATGACTCAGAGATCCTCCAACATGTCTGCTGCTTTATGTAACAGCAGGTTAAAGTCAATAATATGCCATTAGACTTCACGTCCAGATTTGATATGAAGTCTGATATGACTGCACTGTTTGCTGGCTTTCGGTATCACAAAGTACTAAACTACAGTTTCAACTTTTTATGGCCTCAATTATCTGAATTTGTATCCGCCGTGCAGCGCTTTACACTGAAAGGATTACAAAAGCTGCCTTTAGCACACCCAGAAATAGTTTATGCACCTTTTGTAAGCAAACATTTAAATGGATTGCAGATGCATTTCAGAGTCTAAACACAAAATAAACCACAGAGGTGAATGTGTTGTAGTTTCGCATCCATGGGAGAAAAATCTTCCAACACAATCTGCAACTGTTTGGCATTACAAGCTCTTCTATGTTCATTTTTTTAGCTTATCAGACAAACATGAAGAGATTGCCACATTCATTTTTAGAGAACTATGAGCTAAATGGAATGTACCTGTGATTCTATACGTGTACCAGGTTATCTTCCCCTGGAGACACGTCTGGTGGTTGGTCAGATATAACGGTCTGGGTGTCACCAAGATGGCTGTCGAGCACAAAACTTACCTATAAAGCCAAAAACAGAGAGAGAGACAAGAGAACATATTACAGGATAGTGAACTTGTTCAGTCAGCAACATGGTCTCCTGGCTTAGTAAGTTAAGTGTGTTGTGGCAAAAAAAAGTGCATGTACTTACAGTAACATCAGAACCAGTGAGTGGCTGTTACCTTGTTAGAGATGATCTCCACATTTTAGTGCCAACATGGTGACGTTACCATCCAGTTTAATATAGAGGAGGCCAACCTGAGACTATTATACATCTTCATCTCTGTTGCTGTTGTCTGTGTGGTGAATCAACATTTCAATGACTGCTATTTAAAAGTGCACCATGAGGACTCAAACAGCTTTGGAAATAATTATCAAATCACAGTTTTCTGCCTCTTGCTTTGCAGGTCTTTTTAGCCTCATACTGTTTTTTGTTTAAAGTTGTAATGAACAGCTGTTTTGCAGTTTCCAAGCCGAGTAGTTTATCTAATGGGAATTTTAAAATGTTTCGTTTATTACACAGACTAAATTATTAAAAGCCTTTCGCTAAATGCTTTAATTATTTAATCGAAATTCAAACTAAGTTATCGACGCTCAAGGCCTGTTGTGTCGATGTAAAGAAAATAGCAAGCGGTCTAACAGTTATTTCCAAAGCTGTAATAAACTAAGAAATCTGGAACAGTTGCTCCAAGTTATGCTTTTTAAACTGTTGATCATTCAGACAGAGTACATGCTTAGCCTTGTAATAGGTTTCACTATTGGTAGCATAGAGTAGCCTGACTTCAGTCTGACGGGGCTGTGATCACCTCAGGACACCTCTTGGCTAACGTGAAACTGTGTGACAAAAGTGTTCATGAATAAATTTACAGTTGTCCTCAAATATATTCATACCCTCCCATTAAAGAAGGAAAAAAAACATCTGTCACTGAAATAAGTTGAAATTGACAAAAGTGCTAAATAAAAAATTAATGAAAATCATGACATTGCTTTTGAATTGTGGTTCAACAGAAATATTAAAACAAACAAACAAACAAACAAAAAACACACGCAAACAAGCATGATGGGACCCTTAAATTAATATTTTGTTGAATAACTCTTTGAGCCAATCACTGCAATCAAGTGTTTTCTGTAACTCTCAATCAGACTTCTGCACCTGTTGACAGGTGTTTGGATTTTGGCTCACTGCTCATCAGCAAAGTGCTCTAATTTGCCCCGGACAGTTTTTTTTAATGATTCTTTTCACCTACAATTCAAAAACAATGTATTATTTCACTTAAGTATAATTTAGCAATTTTTTATTTATTATTACTTTTCTCAGTTTCTGGTTTTCTGAGTGACTGTTGTGAATTTTGCCTTTTTTTTTTTAATGGAAGGGGATGAATACATTTGAGGACAACTGTACCTTCAGTTTGCAGAAGAGAAGAAATAGTGTAGATGCACCTCAAATCCACCCAACCATCCATCATCTATACACGGCTTACTCCTCACTGGGGTCGTGGGGAGCTGGAGTCTATCCCAGCTGACTTAGGGTGAAGGCAGGGGACACCCTGGACAGGTCACCAGTCTATCACAGGGCTACACTTAGAGACAGACAACCAAGCACACTCACATTCACACCTACGGACAATTTAGAATCACCAATTTCAGCATGTTTTTGGAATTGTGGGAGGAAGCCGGCACTCAAACACAACTCACATCAACAGATAAATACATTATTTACACAGAGGTTTAAAAAGATATGTTTTAATAGTGCACCGAAGTATGAAATTGGACTTGCAAAGTAAAAGAATTATTCAAGAGCTTAGGTTGAAAAAGGGAAGTTACTATTAGGCTTTTGTGGCCTTCTTTTAGATTGTATAACATCTTCATTAATGACACTTAAAAGACAAAGAAAATGCTCAGTCAATAAAAACAAGATAAAGAACCTGAGAAAGAAAATAATCATATCCATGATTCCACAAGCACCATTGATAAAAGAAGAGAAAAATGAACGTTCTTTCACAACATGGGCAATATTACCGTTTCCAAACTAATCATCCTCGGAAAGCTTTCATACCCGTCACCCATCGTGACAGAAGGTGACTGGCAAAGACACAGTAAGTGCAATGACGAACATGAACGAAACAATTTTCTCTCTGTCACTTAAAGTGCTCGACTTGTTAATTTACCCTCACTGGCCGGTTATTACTTCTTCCACTTCACACACCCTCTCAATGACGAGTGCAATAACAACACTCCATAAAGACACATCTGACATTTACCAGGATGAGTGGAGTGACATTTCACCTTCATCTGTAGTGTTTACATACTGGACTACATGACCGACACTGAGGCTGCTAAAAGAAATGCTTCTTCTCATCACGCGGAATCACAAGCACAGAAAATAAAATCACCTTTTTTTTTAAGAGAAAAACAAATCACATACAGTCCAGTTGGTGTGAGATAATCTCAAACGCAAGAAAAAGAGAATTTGGCCGTCGGTGCAAACTCTTCCTCCAGCAGTAATCATTTACAACGATACATAAAATATTATCTGATACATCGTCTCAAGATAAATCTGTAGTGGTCACTTGAATTTCACAAATAAAACATCAATACTATGTTCATGTTTCACTGTGTACAGTATTTACACCCATTTTGAAGAGGAAACTGCTCGTTCAAGCAGATGACCGTTATTGCAGCAAGGCATTTTATAGCTTATAGCGGAAGGCTTACTATCCTGCTCGTGTTCAAACGCAAAGGTAATGTCTCTGTCACAGTTTGTCTTCAGGTTGCAGCACCGTCAGAGGAGCAGGAGGGAGCAAGAAAGCTGTCGATACAGAGGACGCGGCTCTTTCTTGCTGCCTTTAGCTGTAGTGTTATTTCATTTGTCATGTCAGCAGACTTGCTCGAAAGTAAATCGAGACACGTCCCAGGTGGAACAAAAGGGAGATGTTTTCTGTTGAGACGCTAAAATGTCAAATCATATCAGGACATTAATGCAAAGTATCTCACGAGACACACAGAAGTCCCTCTCTGTGAGCGGGTACCATGAAGTCGTCAATGGACTGCATTTCTGATTTGGCCCGATTACTGATCATAAAAATATTGCAATGACGTAGATTGACTTAAAACAAACATGTCACAGGCATGATTTGGAAAAAAAAAAAGTATCCCATATAATAGAAACCAACACTCCAAACAGGAAGAGGTGCTTCACAGATATGCTGCACGTTCGTTTGGTGTGTACGAAAAGTAGATTTACTCTTCCAAAAGCAAAACTTTTCATGCACTCGAAGTGTTTGACAGACTTAACAAACAAGCAGCAAGGCTTCAGAAGGCCAACAGTAGCGACGTCCTCTAAAAACAGCAGAAGTCCTCCCTTTTGGTTCAGCTCTTTAAAAATAACACACAGCTTCTCCTCCTCTGCTAGTGTTCAGATTGAGTTCAACATGTACCGTTTCCATTTGGTCACATGACCCTATAGTAATCACTAATAATGTCCAGCACCTTGAGTACCATAAAGTTTCTTTATACACAGAAAAAAAAAAAAAAAAGTAAAACAGAATCTCAGTCTATGCTGACCGAAATGCAAAAAAATAAGGAAATGAGCCTGTAGAAATGGATGGATCACCTCAACACTGTAGAAAATAAATAGATTTAATAGGAGGCACTGGGGTAAGTTCAACGTCTCTGAAAGCTTCCAGATTGTCAGCTCAGCGAGATCCACATTGGCCACCTTGGGAGACAAATAAAAAGGAATGAGAAAAAGGAGACAAACACTGTTCATACTACATTGTGGACATGACAGAAATATGTACACACACATGTACAGGTACACACTTCTACGTAGTTAAAGAGTGCTCCACCAGCTAAGCACTGCGCTGCAGATAAATTTAGGATGAAAAGGTCTGAAGAACAAACATTAACCAGTTCAGTGCTTTCTTCTTCTCAAAATCTGGCACCTATCTTATCCACAACGCAACTCAACAGCCAAAAGTTCAGTCAGTCGTCGATAATGTGACCTTGAGATGCTAAACTAGCGATTGAGGCAACAAATCCGGTGAGAAATAGGCTCATTCCCAACTAGATTGTTGTACAATAAGGCCTCATATTGTAACCAGAGGAGTCGCCCACTGCAGGCTGTTCTTAAGAATGCAGGTTTAAAGCACTTCTGAGTTGGTTTCCCTTTTTCAGACCCCAAAGCTATGTCCATCTATCATATACAGTCTATAGTCGTACTTGGTGCGTTCGCCAGGAGTCTGTGTGACGTAAATTTCACAACAAATCTTCATTACAGTACATGAAAGCCACCAAAAACTGGAGGGTACGTGGACGTCCGCACAGAGCCCGGCGTGCCCCCTTTGATGGCAAAATTTACATTGCAAAGACTCTAGAGGAGCAATTTTCACTGACTGTTGCGTGGATTCTGTGGTACAAGGGCACCGCCTGCCCATGCAGTGGAAAACCGTTTTGATGTGATTTACAGTGTGCATGCACAGAATACGTAAAATGCGCATGTGTGGTACGTAACCTCCATGCGGACTCCCGAGAGGACTAAAAAGTAGCATGACGAGGGCCGAATTCACGGTTCAGCAGTACATAGCAGCAACCTGTACACAACAACTCTGATGTCTAAAACTGAGAACCGGAGGTGTATAAACTTCCTATTTAGTAAAATATCAAAATAATTATTAAATAACTAGAGACTTTCATCTTGGTGTGTCTAGAATAAGCTGGGGTTTTCAAAGTAGCAGCTCTGAGGAAAGTGTGCACATCATTTCAGCCATTTTCATGAACTAAATAAAAATGAATATCTTGTGACAGCTTTTCTGTATATTTGGCACTAGAAAAAATAAACAAATAACTGATTACAAGGAGAGATTGATGATGAAATAATCATTGGTTAATAATGATTACTTGCAGTCACAGACACACTTTCTCCTCCATTAGACGCTACACACCCAACAGACAGGCTTAACTCTGTCCTAAATTACACTGTTTTCATTCTCCACAAACGCCTCTATTAGAAACCACATGCTGAGTTCAAAATATCTCTGTGCCCTGCCGCAATTACTTTGTGGGTTCTGGGAGGCTGATAGTTCGACTAAACCTATGAATGGGGAAGAGCCGGGTGACTTCACTGAGACGCAGACGTTGTGGAGTGGGAGGATAATCTTCGGCCTGAAACATTTCCGTGTTAATCATCCTGTCCTGTTCCTCCTCTTGTCCCTCTTACTCAACTGCACGTCCAAACACTGAGGGCATCAGACAAATACTTAACAGATGTTCAAGGCAAATAACTAATTCTAATTCTCCTCAGCTACGACGAAATCTTAGTGTCTGGACACTGATCTGTCACAATTTTATCACTAAAGCTGCAGTTTTCTGGCCAACCGAGCTGAATGCACACCACTGGCTTATAATGTGGTGATAAATGTGTTAGCAAGCAACTGGCTATCCACAAATTTAGCAGATATGAAGCAAAATTGATCTGGATGGGGGTTTTATTTTGCTAAAAACAGCTGCCCGCTTTAAAAAGGCTGATAACGGCGGAAACATTGGGCTGCACAACCAAAACAATGAACTAAATAATGGGCTCAAAAGCTCTGGAGAGAGTTAGATGATAATTCTCAGCGGGTGCATCGCTGCCAACTGACCTCTTTCCCATTAATTTGATTCGGTGTTAACATGAAACTTTCTAATAAGTGCATATTTAAATTATTCAAAAATATAAAGGACACAGTTACTCCTGAACTACTGAACCCAACATAAAAGATTGCTTCTTTTGGCTCTTTTATATTTCAGTCAACCCGGCTGATTTATGCATCTCATGTTCACGAATCATGAACACATTCAAACACGCCATCCAGCAACAACACACAAGCCGAGGCCGGGAAGGGGCAGAACCATCATTTACATTTAGCTCGGCCGCTGGATCACGAACAGAAGCTTCCTTCGTTGGGGGAGACGGTGTGCAGGGGAATAAGGCTTTCACACTGCTCGCTGTCTTCTGGCAGTCTGTGGGCAGAAGCAACGGAGTGTCGATCATCATCACAGTCATCACTTTGACAACCATCATTATTATAATCATCCCTCACCAGGCATTCACAGAAGAACGGAGCGCGTAACTGCTGCCGAGAGGTTAGTCAGTCAAGCATGTACATCTGATTACAGACTCAACTTAGCGAGGCTGCGAGCTACAAATGGAGTCCATTATCCTTGTAAGAATGTCAGAGAAGAATAGACTGTAAGTGCGTGTCAGAGTTAAGGTCATCTCATTTCTAATAGGTCACGCGGCACAATACGATAAAACAGCAAATCACTTTCTTTTATAAACTTTAAAAATATGCTTTAACTTTTTTCAAAGACCAGGATGGAAACCATTTGGGAAAATGTTCACATTTTTGCCAACGACTCATCTCTGCTGCTCAGACGTCAGTGTGCATTACCTCAGCCCGGTCCTTGGCGTGTTTGTGTCTACAGACTTCCATTTGCCTTTATTAAACAGTGGAAGCAGTATTTTCACCCATTGTGTGACTGCTTCCACTCTTTTTGCGTCATAAGCGCCATAGCAACCACATTTAATGCTACAGAGGGAGTCCATTGGAACATGACTGTACACAAATAATAGTGTGACTAATGAGGAAGTTACTTATGTTCAGATAAAGTCCAATAAGACTTGCCCTGCAGTCATACAGTAATTAACTTTTTTTTGGTCTCTCCATCCGGAAAGCAGCACAATGAGACTGGTTTTGAGCTTCTGCTTATGCCTGCCTTAAGTGAGTGAAATCATGGTTATACTCATAAAGCTTAATATTCATAATTAGGCAAAATCAAACAGCAGAGAATTCAACCTCGATCATGACGATTGTTTAGAGAGAGCGGCTCATCACACTTGTAAAAAAAAGTTGAATCAAGGAATGTTCAAGGTGTGTTGATTGATTCAAATGTGCCAAATGTACCGTTTGAGGAAGGAAGTTTGACAGTTACTCTTCTATCTGTATGCCTTTGTCACTGCTAATTTTCTCTGTTATTAAACTGTAAAACCCTTGGATTAATTAATAAGAGGCTTCTGAAATGGGTGACGGCCATGAGTTCAATCCTTGAGTACTGAAAAGGCCCTGAACCCCAGCATAGTGGTTGTACTATGCAGTGTCCACGTGTGAAGGCGTGTAACTGTGTGAATGTGACTGTTTAAGTTAGACTCTGTTCTGGACCGTGGCCTTGCTACATCCGTGTTACAGCTCCAGCTCGAACTGCAAGCATTTTCAAAGCAGAGCGTCTTCAAGCAGTCTGCTCTTTATCAGACTCAGGTTTGTGTCTGTGCTTTACTCACTTTAATTGCTGCACCACTGCGCAGTGTCTTCTATCTGTATTTCCTAAATAGTCTAAATTAGCAGCAGGGAAACTGCCTCTGTGTCTGTTTCTCTTTTTCCATTCTGTTTTCTTCCTCTCATAAACCGACTGTCTTGTGACACAAACAAAAAAATTGTCATTTTGATCCGTACATGTTCAGAAAAAGTCAGGAGTAAATGAAATGTATTATTAAAAATGAATGTCAAGTGAACCGTGGAGAAAAATAGCAGCATTCACATTCATTTACAACAGAGCTGAAGAGACCTTTCAGTCATCATCACTAGCCAACCAGAAACAGACCGTTTACTTCAGCTGACAAAATTAGGAAGCGTCTGGGGAATTATTAAAGACAATTGTTCATTTATATCTGTTCATGACAAGAGTGATCACTCTATGTAATTATTTTATGTATAAGTTTCTCAAAAATTCAATATGAATAGCAATTAGAATTAAATGGGAAAAAATCCATTATCAATGTTGTAAATAAAAAAAATTATAATAATAATTTGAAGCTAGAGTCACGATCCTTTTACGATCCTTTGTTGCTAGTTTTGTTCATAAGATCGACAGAACAAATACAGAATCAGCAACATTTCTACATTTTGTCTTCTCAGCTTCATCATAATTTAGCTCATAAATTCAAAGCTTCTTGGGAAAAGAATATGGTACCTTAGCTGTTGGAGAATACTTGTGTTAACTCAGAGTTTAAGTTAATCAAATATTTTATGCTCATGAGGCTTTACCAGAAAATAGTAAGAGGTTACCGTATTCTCTGCAGGAGCCACTTTAACTACGGGCTAGACTGTGGTTTCTGAATCTAGATGGTTGAAATGATCATGTGCCTTATTACAAAACAACATCAATATATGAAATGTGTTGATGGTAAAATGGTTTAGTTGTGGTTAAGCTACTGAATAAATTTCTATTCATATTTCGCTATTATTTGTTCTATGCAGGTAGTACTATTCTGCATTGGTTGAACTGAAAAATAATAACCATGAGGAAAACCGCACGTGTGAATTTATTCAAGCATTTCAGTGTTGGATGGTTAAGTCAAGCCATCTTTGAAACAATCCTTTAAAGAAACATCCAAGGCGCATCAGAGATCCTGTGAGTAAGTGGAAGAAATTATTCTACGGGGAATTTTGTGGACAGGAGTCAAACTGAAACCTCAAACAAAACCTGACAACCTGACAGGCATTTTAAAAACCGAACCAAGTGGGAAAATCGTCAATACTTCAAAGGGAGAAAATCAATCTGAAAGCCGTGTGCTTGGATAAACATTACAGTAAAGTACATGTGGTTTTTTATAACTGTGTGTTGTGAATATGTTAGCATGTCCACAAAACCAACGTGGCTGTCACAGAGTACAGTGTCGCCTGTAATCCTGCTGTGGAATCAAACCGCGTACCTTTGAATGCGATGTTTTCTACAGATGAAGGCGTAAACTCTCCTCAGCCCCACCAGGACCGGGTCCCAGTTGTTGTAGTGGCATAAGAGCGTGGCAATGAAGAAGGAGAGGAAGACGGGGACTGCCCCGGCAAAAAATAACCATGAGAAACGTACCTGTCAACACACAACACACAACAGAAAGCAACGGGTTACAACTTCTGTCATGAACTGACTTCAAGTTTCTAGAATAATTTGATTTTTTTTTTTTTTTGCCAATTGCTGAACATGTTTGTTAAAAAAAAAAAAAGTTTATTTGAACATTTCTTCAACTTTATGAACATTATCTCGTATCTTATGTCAAACTCTGACTCTTACAGTTAAGTAGAAGCAGAAATAAACGTACCTTCTGCATGCAAATATCTGCCATAATAGAGAGAGGAATGGTGAGGCTCAACGCCAACGTCCCAATTAGAGATGATGTGAGGAAACAGCCCCTGAGAACAGAAAGAAGCATTATCAGTTAAAGAATTACACGCTTTTGAAATGATATATATAACTGTCAAATATTCAGCTCACCGTACAGACACTGCTCAAGAACAATCACAAAAAGTACTTATGATACTGTAAAAGACGTCAATTTGGTATCAGGACACTGATATGAATAAAGTATGTATCAGATGCTCACCAGAGCCACAGGAACTCTGACAGAACAGTTCCAATGAGGCCATTTATGAGGATATACGTCCACACGAGCTGGCTGGGAAGCTCAAAGGCCTCAAAGCCTGTGTAGTGGAGCAGGAGGAAGCCCGGCCACAGCAGCAGCAGGTTGAACAGACCCACAAATCCTGAGACACACAGCAGCTTCAACTTAGACGACTTAATATATTTGTTAAAATGTACACGTGTGGTTTTCTGGTGAGTGAGCTCATGCTGCAGACATGCCAAGGCCTTGTCCTTAAAACAATATGCTTATCTGAGCATTTGCTTACCAAAGAACATTGGAATGTCAAGCTTATCCTCCCGATCCACTCGCCTCTTGATCATTACGATGTAGACGGCGTACAGCACCGCCCCGGCCAGCGACCACAGAGAACCTGGGTGAAGATTTAAGTCAATTACATTCGGAAGGGTTTCAGAGTCAACTAATTAAACTCAATTAGGCTGGAGCGTAACGTATATCTTCGCTTCGCAACAGCAATGTGAAAGAGAGACAAATCGTCGCTGTCTCCATGGTTACCTATGACGCCTTTCTCATCAGGGCTGTCCATGCTGGAGAGACTCACGAGGGCAACACCTCCCATACTGAACAAGAGAGACAGTCCATGAAACTCACAGCAAGGCTATTTCAAATATTGCACCAGTTTGAACTCATAAGGAAGAAAAAGAACAATATGAAGCATGAAACTACAAAATTGTTAATATATTCAGTAATACAGAATTGCTGAACGAAATGACCAACATAGTTAGTCTTGGCATGGCTGACTTCACTTACGACAACATAATCAATGTGAGATCCGGTCATATTGCACAACAATTTGGATAACATGAAGCTGACGGTTTGATGTGTTATTCATAAAGAAACAGTTAGCTTG